CACGGACAGAATGGGCACGAAAATGTGAAAAAAATGTAAATGCATTTGTTTGGCTCCTGGGTGGCTCGCACACCGTGGCACTATGCCGGAAATTTGAGTTTTTCCGGCCTGGAAAGCCTGTCAGTGAGGCGCAAGAACTTGTAAATCATGTCCTGAGGGCCAGCATAGTGGCAGGAGTGTGTGGTCAAAATTTCACTCAAATCCACTGAGAAACACCAAAGTTACGGTCAATTGAATGCCATATGAAATTTATGGGTAGGCTGCCCCCCTTAAAGGGGAAGTATACCCTAAAATCAAATTTTCACCAGTTGTAGTCTTCGGGGTGCTGAGTCGAATGGTCTTGGTCCGAGGAAGCTGCGACGCTCCCTTCCTACTTGAATCCCAATCGAACTCGCGCACTTCCACCGAAACTGGGTGACTGCGCCCTACTAGATGGGGATTTGTATGCAAAATGTCACTAAAAGCGCCATTTCGTTCTTATAAAAGCACGGATGACCGCGATTGGCCCATTTGTTGTAGTCTTTTGGACGCTGAGTCGACTGGTTTTGGTCCGAAAAGGCTGCGATGCAGCGTTCCTCCTTTATTCCCAATCGAACATGGTTGAACAAGCGGTCACGTGCTCCTGGGTGCCCAAATCACCTGGTCACCGCGCCAGCAGGCGACAACTTTCACACCAAGGTTCAACTCGAGTTCAACTCGAGTGACAGGACTGCACCCAAAAAAGGTCAAACAGGCTAGTAAGTTGTACCCTGCAGGCACGGTGACCAGGTGACTGGTGTACGCAGGAGCACGTGACCGCTTGTTCAACCATGTTCGATTGGGAATAAAGGAGGAACGCTGCATCGCAGCCTTTTCGGACCAAAACCAGTCGACTCAGCGTCCAAAAGAGTACAACATATGGGCCAATCGCGGTCATCCATGCTTTTATAAGAACGAAATGGCGCTTTTAGTGACATTTTGCATACAAATCCCCATCTAGTAGGGCGCAGTCACCCAGTTTCGGTGGAAGTGCGCGAGTTCGATTGGGATTCAAGTAGGAAGGGAGCGTCTCAGCTTCCACTTCCTCGGACCAAGACCATTCGACTCAGCACCCCGAAGACTACAACTGGTGAAAATTTGATTTTAGGGTATACTTCCCCTTTAAAGGGGAAGTTCACCCTAAAATCAAAATTTCACAGTTTGTAGATTTCGAGGCGCTGAGTTCGGTGGTGAAGGTCCCATCGCCGTGCGATACGCCGTTCTGGAGATATTTGAATTTGAAATTTACCATGACGTCATGCAAAATTTTGCATGACGTCATGGTAAATAATGACGTCATGCGGCCGGCGCACACCCCCTCCACACCCTGTGACGTCAAAGAGATACAGGTTCCCGGTCTGCTTGCTTTTCAGTGAGCGAGAAAGAGTGGCGTTTGTGGAGTTTCTTTCTTGCCACCTGAACAGTTTCAACCACGATGACGGTTTGCTGTGCTGTTGGCTGCTCTAACCAGTCTGGTAAGCCCCCTGGGACCACGGTGCATCGTATTCCGCGGGATAAAGCTCTCCGAGCGGAATGGGTTGCAGCGATTCACCGCGAGAATTTGCCACCTTGTAAGTTTGAGGAGAGCTGTGCAATTTGTTCGGCACATTTTGAGGAGATGCCTTCCAGAGGAACTTGCACGAAGAGATGGGCAAAACGTGCCGCCGAAAGCTGAAAGCAGACGCTGTGCCATCGATTTTCCCGGACAGGCGTCCCCCAGCGAAGCGAAGGATGTCGTAGTATCAGGAGAGGCAGGAGAGAGAAGAGGTGAGTGAATGGTTCTGGTGATTTCGTGCTTTGAGAGCGTGTTGAAATTTTGTCTGTACATCGCGAGTTGGAGAGGGCAGTTTCATCCACTGTGTTGAGTACATTGTATACTTGTAGAAAAAATTATTTACAGATACCGGTACAAAGCTGTTTGCAGTGTGTTGATTGCAAGGTACTAGTATTGAATGAAGACAGAAGATCGTGCAATATATTTTTGTTTTATTTCAATTCAAGTTTTACACTGATGTCGTGAAAAGGCATACAGTGGTCACTAGCTCTGTCCTCTGCTTGGTAAGTTTCAATTCCAAGAAAGTCTTTATTGTGTTGCATTGTCACTGTTATCTGCGTGTATTTTGCGAGTATAATCCTAGCTCAAGCCTATGCTGAGCCGTATGCCGCAGCTTTTCGGTCTCCAGTTGCATGCGCATTGAGTCCAGACGATGGCATGATATCTGCTGATGCGTGCACACAGACCCCAGTCAGCACACGGGAAATTTAGAGGTGATGTTATGGTACCCACTGTGTAGATCAAATCCACACGTACATACGCTTCCAACACTGGCAGTACATTTTCATGACTATTCTTTTGCTATAAACACACACACGCACGCGCGCGCACACACACACACACACACACACACACACACACACACACACACACACACCTTTGACCTTTGACGCCAATCGCCGGAGGCAATGATGGCAATGCTACGGCAGAAGCCATAGCAACTTGTGCTGGAATTGCACCATTCAACAGCTTGCAAGGCTGAAGAATTGACCGTCACAATTCAGCCTGGTCTACACCATACAGCTACACACACACACACACACACGTGCAAGCACCTGGCTGACTACAAATAGTGACAGCTTATGATTGCTTTGCCGTTTGTCCATTATGCAGGTGTTCCACCGGACTCCTCGGCCAAGTTTTCCGAACATCAGCCATATGTATTGTCGGTATGCTGCGTAATGGTGCGAGCTGCTTTGGGGAACAGGGGAGTAGATCTTCCTGCAGTTAGTCTCGCATGTCAACGTACATTTCAGTGCAACAGCAGCACACTACAACAACAAATTTTTGAAGAAGTATACAAGCCAATATCCTGGTTATATTTTTGCACCATGGAACAGTATTTAATTTTGATGAGAAAATACAGTTCTCCGATGCAAAATCGACACTATTAGCACGTACCGGTTTCCAAACTCAGATGGCTTCGATCCGGCCTGCTGATGGATCTTGCCCAAATAGCCACGCAGTACAATGTACAGTGCGTGCTGGTTGCTGCAGCCTTCCTCGAACTGTGAGGTGCAAGTAATGCAGCCAGACTCTGTAACCAATCCGCGGCTGCCGATTCCGGAACATCTTTGCAGCAAATGCAGTCGTTCCGCAATAATTGAACGACGCATTTGCCACATTCACACCAGGACGTATTGCCAACGCGATCGGCAGGTGGCCAGCAGTCCTCTAAGCAAGCAGCAGGGTCAGTGTCGGCAGCAGCCGCTGCAGTTTCGTCAGCATTTACACCAACTTACTACGCACTCGCCATCTGCATGATCTCATCCTCGGTATACTCCGGTTCCTTCGCTGGCGTCCAACTCGCTCTCCTCGGAGTCACTGTCATCTCCTGACAAGGAGGTAGACCTACCCTGAATCGTCTCCGCTCTGAGCCTCATACTGCTTGACTTTCCGCCTTGAAGCCACTCTCTGCCAGGGGCTCAGCAGTCAGCCAGCTTGAAACCCCAGGGTCAGCAGCACATTCCATCAGCAACCTCTGCTGATTGCACAGCCCCAGGGACATGTCCGCCTGCAACTGACGATAATTATGCCGACGCACGCAACTTCTGCTCACCCCTGCGGAGAGCCCCTGCCTGAGCAATAACGACGGCCGGTGGAGCAGCATCAGATTTGCACTCTATCATGTCCACAATGGGCCGCGTCACCCTCAGACTCACTCTTCGCTGTTCACTGGCGTCCTGGGCAATACTCGGGAGGGCGAGGCCAGCGAACCTGACAGGCAGTGCCAACAGTTTGCGTTCAGTATCCGACTGGCTAGGACGACCAGTGAGGGCCGGAATCAGGTCTCTTCCAATGACCAGATGACACTATCCAGTTCATCGAAACCCGCAGATTCTGGGTCTTTGTGAGATCGCAGATGATAGTGCCAGTGATGTGCCAGCTAGCTGCATGCATTCTGAACTATTAGTATTACCGGTACTTGAAGTTGAAGTGCTTGCTGCACGTGCCTGGAACGGTGTGCGAGGGCTAGGGGAATCCCGCACCAGGTGCTTCCCCGGACACAACTGCTAAACGAGGGGAAATCCCTCTTCCCGTATGTGACATGACTCATTGACTGTCGCCTTGGAGTCGACCAATGACAGATCAAATTACGCGGGCTGGAAAGCGCGATCCTGCCTGATGAACGGTGATCTGGTGATGGAACTAGTTCCACTGCCCGTCGTCACTTGACGACGGAATCCACTCATGAGTCTACCATTTCAATGACAAGCTTCTGTGGTCTGAAAGTACATGCAAAAAGTCATGTACTGTAGTCCGTGTACGGTACGGTTGTCGAAGTCACTCTCACTCAGCTCACACAGAGTCACAGCTAGTACAGCCTCATTCAGGACTCGAGTCGAGTCACAGAATGGTTCATGTAATAAGTTCAAACGTCAAAGATTGTGAGTGATCTCCTTGGCTTGGGTGCGTACCGGAAACACGTTCCAGTCACTCATAGTCATACTCGGTCAGTAGAATCTACCGCTGCTCATCCAGCCCTTGCCGCTATCGCGGCGCGGGCTGGATTCCGCGGTACTGCCCTCATAGAGTCATACTCGTGCAGGAACCTGTACATCCGACATCGGGACATCGCATCTCGGCGGCTAGCCGCCGTAGTACCCAGCTGGTCCGCGAGCTAGCCGTACTGTGACCTTGGCGACTGTACTGCACTTCTGCAGGGCGATATCTACGGTAAGCCGAAGCGTGCACCACGCAATCATCTGATCATGTGCATGGCATTAGTGGCCTTCCTGTAAGTAACCAGTTACCTGGCCTACCTAGGCCGGCCCGCGCCCATCTTTCGTTCGCTGCGATCGAGCATGCTGCTATGCATGCATGCTCTGTGTCAATATAACACCTCGCACATGCTTGCAGCGTCGGTTTCTACCCGATCAGACCTTGTGAACGGATGAAGATCGTGTGCTAGTATCGGCAGCGCTTGCTGGGCATTGCCAAAAACCTAGATTCTGATTTCGTGCAGAAGCCTCCGATTCGTAGTGTGGTAGATCGACCACTACCACTGAGTCTGTGCCAGCCTCAAAGTAACCGTTGCTTACCTGCTCAAGACGCAGCGGTAGAGTGCAGGTGAGGTATTCTAGCCATGCATGTATCATTGTACTTGATGCAGTAATACTAATGTGAATTCAGAAAGACACTCTCCGACGCCGAACTAATAGTAATACTTCTTCCCCCTCTTACAATGATGTGCTACAGACAGTACAGACTCCTGCAGTAACCTGGTAACATGCCAGGATGATTCGATGATTTTTAGTATTTTTTACTGTCTCTTTTTGTCTTCCAGCTTGCTCTCGAGTCTCATGCTCATATATCATAGCTCACTCAGTCCAGGTCTTTCACTTTCAGCGCTATCGTAGATCGCGGAGCGTCACACTCTGGTGGTGTTTGCGACGGACTCGTGCTGCTGCATACTGTGGCCAGCGTAACCAGTGTAGGCTGTAGTACATAGTGCCGTGATCGTGAGCTCATAATCAGCCGCTTCGTTCCTCCCTGAGACTTGTCAAGGTTTTCATCGATCGAAGCAGGGCGCACGTCGGCAGATACCCGCTCGGCGCTGGTCTGACCTACCCGCACCGGTCGCTTTGTCGTGCCACGAGCACAACGGAGCAGCGAAGAGAATGGCGGGGCGGCCATTCCTCGACCCGCGCCCACCCGAGGGGGGCACAAATTCTGTAAGTACTGAGATCTGGATAATAAATTATTATTAATTTAAAAATAATTTTATATTCATACAGAGGTAGTTCTAGGTGGGAACTGAAATCCGATTACTAGTAACGTGTTCGAGTGCAGTACCGATGCAACATCCAGCTGGGGTCAGACCACCCCATGCTGCAGCCAGTGCAGGATAGCGGGGTGCTTGGCTGTGCTACAGGGAACCCAATGTCCATGCAGATGTTCTCACTGCTGCAAGGTTGGCCGGCCACGAGTTCTCAGGTAACTCCAGCCGAGTCTCGCACAAACCGTGATTTTTTTTGCATATTGCCATTTGAACACTCGATTGTACTGTTGTTTCTCCAGAAAATAAGCCGCACTGGAGTATAAGTCACAACCAGAGTTTTTGGCACGAAATACAGACATTTACTCCATTTATCACTGTTAATTTGACCATCATAGTTTAATGGTGGTGTTTAAACTAGGGCTGAGTCGGGTAGCATTTTCTTCGGGTATCGGGTTCAGGTCGGTTTCCACGGGTAGCACGGGTACCCGATAGGGTAATGTTGCCATGGTAACACCACAGTGCACCTCTTTCCTTACACACTTGGTAGACATGCGGAGTGTTACATGAATTTGTACACATGCACTCACGGTACATGATGTCATCTGCGACTTCGGGTTTTCTGGTACTATTCTGTACCCGTCTACCCGAGGTCCTCACGGATAGCACGGGATACCCGACTACCCGTGCACACCGCTAGTTTAAAGTGCTTTTTATACTCCGGATAATACGGTACTATAAAACATTTAATTTAAGGTGCATTAAAAATTCGGTGCCAGGGACCTGCCAGGTTTCAGGTGTAATTTAGAATTAGGTGACCAGCGTTCCCTTCACATACAGTGCATACTCTAGTGCCTTTTAGGTGTAATTTAAATTTATGTGCCTGGTTTCTCCACTGAAATCACCGAATATAAGGAGGATTAGCAAGACGAAATTCGCGTTCGCGTTCGCAAACATTTTTCAGTTCGCGAACTGGATTGCGAACTTTCGCATTTTTCGTTTGGAAAAGTAGTCGGAACACGAATCGCGGATTCGTGTCAGGACAGTCATAAATTTACCACGCTGTACTGTCTGTACACAATGTACGTCGTGTCAACGTCATCATGCATGTGCGAATTCTAGGCTATACCAGTACTGTCAGTCTATAGTGGTGTGCACACTGCAGTCTGTTGTCTGTAGTGTAGGATAGTCTATAGTGGTGTGCACACTGCAGTCTGTTGTCTGTAGTGTAGGATAGTCTATAGTGCTGTGCACACTGCAGTCTGTTATCTGTAGTGTAGGATTGTCTATAGTGGTGTGCAGACTGCAGTCTGTTGTCTGTAGTGTAGGATCAGACTACATTGTACTAGTAAGTTTTCATCGGTGACCTGTGCAGTGTAGGCTACTGACTCTGTAGCACTATCCTGGACCATGTAGGCTACTGACTCTCTATCACTATCCTGGACCATGTTGTGTGTAGTAACCAGAGTGTCTAGATTCTTGAGCCTGCCTCGGAATTATAGAAGCCTGGTTTGAATAGAAGCCTGATTTTTAAGATACACGGTCGGCACATAAGCCTGGTTTTAACGCTGACACCGTGACATAGAAATACCTGGGTTGAATAGAAGCCCGATGTGAATATAAGCCTAGCCATGACATCGGCTTCTACAGGATCGAATAAGCCCAGTTTAACTTTTAGTGCGCGACATCACCTGTTGTCCAACATTACGGTCTGCCTGGATATTGTGAACACACCATCACCTGTCAGCTCAGCTCAGGTGCATCATGACGTGCACGGTCATTGTCTTCACAATCTGTGGCCACTGCATGTGCATGCCTGATCTCTTGGTGTGTGTGTGTGTGTGTGTGTGTGTGTGTGTGTGTGTGTACATGGTGTGTGTGTGTGTGTACATGGTGTGTGTGTGTGTGTGTGTGTGTGTCCCATATGGTGCAGTGGTATGTGCAGCGATTTCCAATCGATAGATTGCGGGTTCGATTCCCGACGATTATGGTCACACACGTCTTTCTTCTCTTTCTCAGACTCTTCCTGACTTTTCTTTCATTCTCCTGGGTGGTTACCAACAGCCAGTGCATGCCGGAGTATGTGGTGTGATGTGTGTGGGGAAAAAAAATGAAAAAGACCCAAAATAGGGATTCACTGGCCAGAAAATGTCACTCCAAATAGCTGTATGGTGTAGACCAGGCTGAATAGTGACGGTCAATTCTTCAGCCTTGCAAGCTGTTGAATGGTGTAATCCCAGCACAAGTTGCTATGGCTTATGCCGTAGCATTGCTATCATCGCCTCCGGCGATGGGCGTAAAAGGTCAAAGGTGTGTGTACATGGTGTGTGTGTGTGTACATGGTGTGTGTGTACATGGTGTGCGTGTGTGTGTGTGTACATGATGTGTGTGTGTACAGTGTGTGTATGTGTGTGTACATGGTGTGTGTTTCTGTGTGTTTGTGTGTGTACGTGGTGTGTGCTTGAGAGTAGCTATAGCACTCCAGCCACTGACTCTTGAGCTGAGCTCTGAGCCCGTTCTTTTCTACTCACTTTGAAGGTCATTAGAGGTGACAGCTGGTCATCATCATATTGCCCCAGGGCACACTGTTTGGCTAGCCTTCAACAGTTGTCCTGACAGTATGCTCAGAAGACTTCAGCTGGCGCCTCTCCTGCTGGGGGCTACCTGGCCGAAAATAAGAACTCGTGCAACCTCCACTGAGCCCCCTCACTGTGACCACACGCTGTTGAAAGAGAATTGCACTCAAAGGGACATCCCCCAGCGCACGATTGCTGGGGACTGTCCCTTCGGCCTTCAGCAAGCTACATGTGGATAATCATTGAACTAGTCACTGAACTAGTAATACCCACTTGACTTGTAGTACAAGTACATGTACATGTACAATCAGTCATGTATTATTAACTGAACGTAGTAAGACTTAGTAACACTTGAAGTAACGTGTTGAACATTGGGAGAAATCTCTGTACCTGAGGCTGACTTTGATCACTTACTAACGCTGCCTTCATAATACCCCCGTGCCACCAGCATAGTACTATGTTGATCACTTACACTGCCCTCGCGCTGAAACACTAGCATTGCATACCTGCCATGGGACAACACCTATAGTGAATAAGACCACACAACCCGGAGTATCCCCAGTCTCCTCCTGATGATTACTTTTCAGCATGAAACTCGTGAGTAGAGGCATTTACCGGTAAATCACTTTTTGTTCCATCAATTTTCGTTTGTACTGATTTTGTGTAGTCATTCCCCTGTGCACTGACCGTGCATGCTGTAGCTAGGCATAATCATAGTCGCCATAGGCCTGATCTACATCACATGTGCGACTTTAAATTTTTAATTCAACGACAACTACTAATACTATACATCGATCATGTAAATCAAATCAAAATGGTAAAAATTAATGTTGATACTATTATTTAAACACAGTGATTGGCTTGACACTGTTGACAGATGCGTCGACTCTGCTCCTGTCAAACAGGTGCAGGGAAGATGCCAGCTGTGTTTATTATCATTATTACTAGTACAGTGACAGTACACAGTAGTACTAGTGATCTGGTGATTGGGCCAGTGCTACACCGCTGAGGCAGCCACATGTGGATGCAGTTGATGCATGTGAAGCAGGTCATTGCGCCATGGCAAGTGGCTGCGATGGCTGTGCCTGTGTTCATGTACAGTGTAGACCGTACAATTACCGGTACAATACTACCTCTTTACTACATTTAAATATTATCCTGCAAAGTATTTTGTAGATGCGTGACTTCTACGTCATGTACTACAATTGGTACATGACTTAAATAGCCGTCTGGCATGGTACAATAACCTTTTTTCTTTCTTATTTTTCTTTTATTCCCGTAGCTATGCAGAAGACGTTACTTCAGTAACGTCTGGCGCTAGCCAGGGTCCACACACAGCTTTAATTTGGTATTTGTTTGTTTGTGTGTTTGTTTGTTTGTGTCACGCCTGGCGCTATCCCGTATCTGTCCCGTATCTGTCCCGTATCTGTGACTACAAAGGCTCTACAGAATTGTACATAACAGCTGTCCACAATATTTGCGGGCTCCTGTATCTGTCCCGTACCGTACCAATATTCGTCGTATTATGTATACGACTCCCTGATGTAGAGGGAGATTTGGAACGAAATAGGGAGACGAGGAGGAAATTAAATTAGAATAGACGCCGAATAGGTGATAGGATGCGTCAGCATAAACAGCGTCAGCATAAACATACATGTACTTTGGAAGAGAGATCGCGTCGTCTCCAAAATAAGCGTGAACGAGCGATTCAGCGCCGGTCACAGGAAACGTCGGAAGAGAGATCCCGTCGACTCCAGAACGCCCGTGATCGGCAGAGTCCGCCGGTCCCAGGCAACGTCAGGACAGACATCCCGTTGAGTCCAGAACGCCCGTGATCGGCAGAGTCTAAGCCGGTCCCAGGAAACGTCAGGACAGACATCCTGTCGAGTCCAGAACGCCCGTGATCGGCAGAGTCAGCGCCGGTCCCAGTGAACGTCAGGACAGACATCCCGTCGACGCGCAGAAAAACTAAATCTGCAGCCTCTTTTGCCGTCGGACACGATACGTATTATAGGAGACTGTAAAGTTATGTAATGTCCAAATTTCCACGTGAGCAGCAGGTCACTCGTGTTGATTTTTCGACGTGCGAGCCAAATAACGCGAGCTGAACTTTCGCGTCGCAGACATCCCGTCGACGCGCAGAAAAACTAAATCTGCAGACTCTTTTGCCGTCGGACAGGATACGTATTTTAGGAGACTGCTAAGTTATGTAATGTGCTCCACATGCAACCATGCATTCGGCGTCGTCATTGGCTCAACAGGTCAATGTACATGTATTACTACAAAAAGGCCAGAAAATCCGATTACTGTATTAAAATCAACTAATTTTCGCTGGCGATTTAATTTCGCTGATTTCGCCGCTTGGTACCAACCGGCCAAA